ATGAAATCAAATTTGAAATTGATGAATATATTATTACCATAATAAATACCCCTAGTATGACCGATAATGACTTTAATAATAATACTAATATAAGAAATATATTAGATTTTATTAGCAATTATCAAAATATTAATGCTATTTGTGTGCTTATAAAGCCAGAATGTTCTACATTAGGTTTCGAATTTAAAAATTATTTACAAATATTAATTGATCAAGTTTCTAATAATATATCAAACAATATATTATTCGCGTTTACTAAACCTGAATTACCCATGGAAAGTGTGGTCTCTATTAAAACTGAACTCGGTGAAATCAGAGATAACAAAAATATTAGCATTCAATTTAATGCAACTACAACATATTGTTTTGATATTGAGTCATTTCGATTATTTGTAGCTACTTTACCCCCAAATAATCTGGTGTTTAACCAGGAAAGTATAGGTGAACTCGAATTGGCATGGGAAAGGTGAGTTTATTTATAATAGTTAAATTTTGTAAAATTAAATTAATGCAATATTTATTCTAATTTATTTCCAGATCTGTTGAAGAATGTACCCGGTTATTTAAATATATATGTAATCTTGAACCAATAGAAATTAAATTAATTATTAATACAAAACCAATTAATGAATTTCCCGTAACTACACAGAACCAAAATGATAAAATTAATTTACCCAAAATAAATGAAAACGGTATTAAAAATGAAAACATTACAATTGATTCAAAACCTATTGTAGAAGAAATTAATACCCTTAATAACATAATAACAATTGAAAATTTGAACATGGAAATTAAAAATGAAGTAAATAATGGTAATAACTTATCTAGGAGAACAATAAACCTGTTATTATTGAGTGAGTCGGGTGTGGGAAAGTCCGCATTCATTAACGGATTCGTCAATTATATCACTTATAACAATATTCAGCAAACTCAATCAAATTCAAGTTGCCATATCGCTGGTGAATTTACAACCATAAGTGATTCAGTTAAACCTAAATGTTATACATATGAAATTGGGCATATTGAACTTAATATAATTAATACCCCTGATATTTGTGAAATGGATGATGATGATAAACATACAATTAATATAATAAATATTTCTGGCGTATTAACAAATTATCATGAAATTAGTGCCGTATGTGTGCTATTAAAAGAAAATATTAAAATGCTGGAGTTTATATTCGAAAATTATTTACAAACACTAATTAATCAAGTAAACCAACAATTACCTAAAAATATAATTTTTATTATTCCTGATACTTGCAATCCTGCAAATTGTGTTTCCGAATTAAAAATTGTGAAAAATAAATTAGCATACTATTATAAAGATATTGACTTTCAATATGATAATAATGATAAAATATATTGTTTCGATATGGAGTCCATAAGCTATCTAATAAAATTTAGAAATTAGATTGAAATTTCAAATAAATTATCATCGTCCATGTAAGGCTAAAATTTATTTAAATTATCAATTATTTAATTATTGTGATTTTAAGTAATAAATATTATTTTCTCCATAGGTCAGAATGTTCTCGTTTATCAGATTTCTTATGTGAACTAGAACCATTAAAAATTAACATAAAACAGAAACCATTTGACAAAATTTCTAAGGCATCTAAAAAAGTAATAACCTTGCTATTGTTGGGTGAGTCGGGTGTTGGAAAGTCCACATTCATCAATGCCTTTGTTAATTATATCAAATATGATGATATGCACCAAGCTAAATTAAACCCCGAATGCTTAATTCCCGTCTCATTCATAATAACAGACAAGGATACTTTTGAACAAAATGTAATAACATTAGGTAAACAAGATATAAACGAAAATACAAAAGACACGGGACAGTCTGCTACGCAATATCCCAAATGTTATAAATTTGAAATTGGAAATATTACCCTGAATATCATCGATACCCCGGGAATTGCCGATACGGAGGGCATCGAAAAGGATAACAAAAATATGGAAAATATACTAAACTTTATATCCAATTATTCGGAAATTAATGCCATTTGTGTGCTATTACTGTCAAATACCACAAGAGTTAGCGTAGTGTTTAAGTATTGTTTGTTACAGTTGTTCAGTCACTTGAATAAGTCTGCGGCCGATAACATACTGTTCCTTTACACCAACGCCCGGTCCACTCAGTACGCACCGGGAGAAACGGGACCGGCGTTGCAAAATTTATTAGATCAAATAAAAACACGTCCTCCCAATGTGGACATACCTCATAACCGGCAAACAATTTATTGCTTCGATAACGAGTCCTTTCGGTTCGCAGTGGCGTCGGCACCGCCTAATAACATAAAGTTTGATGACATGTTTACTCGTAATTATGAACGTAGTTGGCAGATGTATGTATTATAAAACATTAAGTTAATGTAAAATTTGTTTTTGTCTAAATTATTTTTGTTAATACAATTAATGAATCACTTAATTGGCTAGTTCAGGCTGATTCATAATTTTTGATGTAATCAATGTTATAAATATTCCAATACAACAATGATCTAAAATATAGTTAACATTTGTTATGATCTAATTGATGCAAGAAGTTTTGACATTATTTACACATAATAATCTTAAGTTTAATATTAATAAAAATGAGGTTATTTATTTAAATTGGGGATATATATTTAGCCATTATTTACAATTTAAGTTTAATTTTATTTAATGCATTTTTACAGTTCAGTTGAAGAATGCGATCGATTACTGGAGCGAATCATATCTCTTTCCCCTCACAAAGTGATGGACACCCTATCCCTCAATAACGCCAAACAAAGTATAAATCTATTGACCGAACCATTGGCTCAAATAGCGAACAATATCTCGGATAACGTGGAAGAGTGTGAACGACACAAACAACGCATCCGTGAATTCACTGGCGATATAACTGCTCTTCAAGAGGAACTGTATGTCCCATCGGTGGACATCGAAAACGTACCATTAAATCATCCGAAGACTGTCTGCAGTGATAAAGATTGCTGTACTCATGAATGTGTCAACGGAATCGTTAAAACGCATTACAAAACAGATTGTCATTCACCATGCTACTTAACTAATGATAATAGAAATATAATCGGCAATAATGGTCTACTCCAGTGCAAAGCATTCAATAAGTATATTGAGGTTGGTCCCTATCAATGGGTTGACCATGCTGATATAATGCCTGATTGCAATTACAAAATAAATTCCGAGGGTAACGCTCATATGCCTGATGTAAAAGTTACTAAATCGGACAAGTGTTTCGTGTGCGGCCATTCCTATCAAACGCACCTACATATAAATTACGAGACACGGGTTGTGAATAAAAAGATCATGGATGAAACAAAATTCAAACGCATTACTACAACACTAGAGGCAACGATTGCAAAGAAAGCTCAAATTAATGAACTTGAAATTATGATTGAAGAATTGAACAAGGAGAATACTATTATTACTAAGGCTATGGCCAAGCTTGCTTGTTTCCTAAAACATAATGCCCTGACACCTTTTAATGATGCCTTCGAAGAATACGCGAATATCGTTATAGAAAAAGAGAAGCAAGGTGAAATTAATACCGAGAAATTAAGTAAAATTAACGAATTACTTGCGCGATACAAAATCGAAAAAGCAGCAATTGAAAATGCAATTACTAGTAATGAGTCAAACAATGAGATTATATCCGTTAAAGAGATTGATAAAATTATCAAGGAACTTCACGTATTAAAATTGAAAGGGAATATTATTACCGAACTAATGGAAAGGCAAATAAAAATTAAAGCTTAAAATCATGCGATTTATGAGCAAAATATTAAATCCGAGGGATTACTTAATTTTGCAAAACTTAAGTTATTTTGGGAGAAATCTAAAATTATTATGCATAGTTATTAATTATAACATTTGTTTATTTTCATTTATTTTAAATGATTGCATGTTATCTTCAAACTCTTCTCTCATATTATTGTTCAATGTTAGTTAACATTTAATATGATATTTAGCTTCAATATTTTATTATAATTTTATGAAAAATACAGAAATTTTCTTTTTAATAAATCTTTTTGTAAATTGCAAATATTATAAATTATAATGAATTAATTTTGATTAATATATCACGACGAGTTCATTATAATGCAATTTTCTTGGTACTTGGCATACTATGGTAACCCAAAGCTAATAATCTATGTATATACTGTCGAAGCTCTGAGTTGTCAATCTCTCTGTTGTGTATCGCTCTATGGTGTGAACTAATATGGATTTTTTGTCGGATTCCCTATACCTGTAATGTTAAAAACATTCCCTGTTGTCAACTTCTATGGTGTGTATATCTCTATGCTGTGGACACATTTTGCAATATTTAGTGTTATTTTCCGCTCTGAGTTGTGTAAAATGTCACAAAATAATAGTAAAATTGAAAATTATTTTGAATTTTTAAAAAGCATAAGCGACAATATATAAAATTTTACCCACTATTATTATACCTTATAGATAAGCTATCTATAAAGTGAATCTAATATTGAAATCTAAAGTATTTCACAAATAAAGAGATTAGTCAATTATTGTATAATGTATCCTAAGATGGCTATCTGGTTTTGATGAATAAATATTATACTGTATTACAAACCATGAAGTGTAACTACAGTAATTACTATCTTAATCAATTATCTATTATTATTAATGAGAAATTGTATTGTATATAAGATTTTTATTTATTATATCGAAGTAATTTGATGTAAATTTTCTACTGATTTGATTTAACAGGCTCAATTATTTACTGAGAAAAATCTAGATAAAATTTATAAAATTAGCAAAAATGTCACAGATAATATGAATGGGATACTGTAGTAGAATTCTTGATTAATTGAAACATAATATCCAATATTCAAACCCCGATTGCCAGATATTGGTAAAGTTGGCAATATTCTTTTTTGTTGTTGACATTCCCTGTTGTAAACATTCCCTACTGTGTACAGATTTGGTCTGCATTAGGTCATACACAACTCAGAGCTTCGACAGTAATTGTTATTGAAAATATTGATAATCTGAATAATATACTTTTGAAAAAATATAAATTATGTATTTAAGTAAACGGATTAAACCAACTAACAAAAGTTCCCAATTTTCTGAATAAAGACGACCTTTTCGGTACTCTATACTCCATTTCCTTAGCGACTGCGTGTGACTTGGCTTTCGACAGGTGCTGATCGGCTAACATCTTCGCAATGGTGCCTCCATTCCACTTGAGCCCACACAACTCACGGATATTCTTGTCAATGTCCTCCAGGGATATGCAAACAGCACCGTTGTTTCGGTTACTATTTTCCATCGCTTTCTGTATGACTTCCTTCTCATACTTATATTTGACGAGCAGCTGTTCCAACTTTTTAATGGTCTCCCGATTATCCTCAGCGCTCATTGTACCGCCTTTCCTCTCGTTGTCAATCAGGTGTCGGACGTAGTCATCGAAGGCGTCGTTAAATGTGGTTAAGGCGTTGTGTTTCAGAAACCACGCGAATTGAGCCATACATTTCGTGATTGTGTCCTGCTCATCAGTTAATTCTTTTATCTTCTCATCCAGTTCATCCATCTTAGACTGTATCGCATCCATTGCCTCTTTATCAGTTGTAATGCGTTTGTTTTTGCTCTCATCCCGAATCCTTTTGGTCAGGATTTTGGTCTCGTAATTGATATGTAGGTGCGTTTGATAGGAGTGACCACATCCGAAACATTTTTCCGATTTCGTCCTTGTGCTATTTGTTAATAAAATTCTACCTTCTTCATTGGGTTTACCAGTATAATTCTGGTCGGGATGAAGATCTGTCGGTAAACCCCAAAATGTGCCACTTTCTTCGTATTTATTAAACGCTTGACAATCGAGTAGACCTTTATTACCCATAATATTGCCGTCACTATGAGTTAGATAACACGGGGAATGACAGTTGATATGATAGTGAACTTTCTCCACACCATTTATATTTTCTTTGGTACAACACTTAGGGTCCCCGCACACTGTCTTAGGCTTATCCAATGGCGTGGACACTATATCCTTGGATGGGATATACAGTTCCCGTTGGAGTTCCTCTATAGTGCCTTGAAAATGAAATATCCGTCTCTTATGTGCCTCACATTCCTTCACATTATCGGCGATATTGTTCGCGATGTCAGCCAATGGTTGAGTTAATAGTAGTATGTTTTGTTTGGCGTTATTGAGGGATAGGGTGTCCATCACTTTGTGAGGGGAAAGGGAGACGATGTGCTTTAGAAGTCTATCGCATTCCTTTACAGACCTGGTAATTCACAATAATAAATAACTTTAATAATATTTTGTTACTATTAAAATAAATAAAATAAATTGTACATGATTTTACTAATATAAAAATAGACTCCGTAATAAAAATTATAATCAATTTATCATAAATTAACTTATTTCTCATATGGCAATATTTAGGGTTGTAATAAGAGTATAATTTATTCCTAAACTAATTGTTCAAGTTTTAATATTAAAATATTTTTTATTGCAAACCTTTCCCAACTTGTGTCGTAGTCTCGTTTAAAATGGTCATTAAACTGCATGTTATTCGGAGGAACAGTAGCCACGAGATAACGGAACGACTCGTTATCGAAGCAATAGATTGTTTCTCGACTATACTTCACGTCCACATACGGAGGCCTTTCCTTAACTTCTTTTAGTAATTTCTTTAAAACAGGCCCTGAATCTCCCGGTGCGTATTGCGTGGACCGGGCGTTAGTAAACAGGAACAGTATGTTATCGGCCGCAGACTTATTCAAGTGACTGAATAACTCAAGCAAACAATACTTGAATATCACGTCAACCCTCGCGTTGTTAGGCTTTAGGAGCACACAAATGGCGTTAATTTCGCGGTAATTACTAATAAAATCCAACAGATTTCTCATATTTTCGTTATCTTGTTCCACACCATCCGTATCGCCAATACCCGGGGTATCAATAATATTGAGCACAATGTAATTGTTTTGAAATTTATAGCATTTCGGAGATTTAGTGGCCGATTGTGTCGAGTCAGTGGTGTTCTCATTGCTGTCCGGTATTCCGAATGTTATTTCTTTCTCATTATAAGTCTGTTGATCTGATAGTGTAAACTGAACTGGCAATAAACATATGGGCTCATCCATGGCCTCATCCATAGTCTCGTAAGTCATGTAATTGACGAATGCATTGATGAAAGTCGACTTTCCCACACCCGACTCACCTAACAATAGGATTGTTATTACTTTGTGGGTATTATTTGCAATTGTTGATAATGGCATCTTATTAGTTTGTTCAACATTTTGTATAGGACGATTAATTTTTATCATTAGTGGTGGTATGCCAGATATATAATGAAGTAAGCGATTGCATTCAGTTACTGATCTATAAAATTAAGTTAAATTAGAATATAAATTAATAATTTTATGATTATAATAATCAAAAACTAAAATTACTTTGACCAAGCCACTTCATTTTCACGTTTAGTTTCAGGGCCAAATTGAATGCTATGTGGGGAATGTGAGGCTACCAGGTATCGGAAGTCCTCGTTATCAAAACAATAAATTGTGCTTTTATTGAATTTAATATTAATATCTTGGTTTGTGAACTTGCTTATCGCATCTTTTACAGCCGGTACAAATTCTGCGGGTTTTTGGGCGTTTGGGAATATGAATATTATGTTGTTTACTAAACATTTATTTATATAATGGACCAGTTTTAGCAAATAATTTTTGATAATAAAGTCAACCATGACATTATTAGGCTTCAAAAGCACGCAGATGGCATTAATTTCACGATAATTGCTAATAACGTTCAAAATTGTTTTAAAATTTTGTTCATCATCTTCAATATCATCTGTGTTTACAATATCTTGTGTATCGATTATATTAAGCATAATGCTATCAGTATTATATTTGTGGCATTTTGGGTAATTAAGCCCCGATCCTGTAGGCTCATTTGACGACATTGAAATATTCATGAATTCATATGTGTCTGGGTCGAAAATTGAAAATTCATCATTCACTAAACATTTAATTTCTTGACGCCTGGCCTCATCCATAGTCTCGTAAGTCATATAATTGGCAAATGCGTTGATAAATGTGGACTTTCCCACACCCCACTCACCCAACAGTAACAAGGTCAATTCTTGTTTAGTACGAGGGCTATCTTGCCGTGTTTGTAATGTTGCCTTGGTGTTACTCTTGGTCTAACCTGTATTTTTATAACAGGGAGTGTACCAATATTATCCAGTAAGCGTTTGCATTCCGAATGACTCCTATTTATTTAAAAATTTGTTAAAATTTATAATAAATCGATAAGTAAAGACAATTTAAAATACTTCATCCAATTTATATCCTGGTCAGCTTTGATTGTTTTATCCAGATCCATGTTATTGGGCGATGAAGACGCTACGCTGTATCTGAAAGGATCGTAGTTTATACAGTAAATGATCTTTTTACTTTGTTTTATATCTATATGAGGGATATTTTCCCTGATACGACTCAATTCAGATATTAATATTGAGGCAGAACTTCCGGGTTTATAGGTATCGGCGAAGAGGAACAGTATGTTATCGGCGGCCGACCTGTTCAAGTGACTCAACAATTGTGACAAACAATACTTGAAAATCACGTCAACCCTAGTGTCGGATGGCTTTAAGAGCACACAAATGGCATTAATTTCCTGATAATTGTTTAGAAAGTCCAACAGATTTCTCATATTTGTGTTATTAGTGTTATCGTTATCTTCGCCATTGATGTCCACAATACGCGGGGTATCGATAATATTGAGCACAATATCATTGGCTAAAAAGCTATAGCATTTGGGTGTGGTCGATTCGTTTGTGTTTCCAGTTACCATGTTATCAACATTTCCGAGTTTTACATTTTTGACCTCGTACGTTTCAGCGTCCACTATGCTTATATCAATAGGAAAGATGCAAATTGGTTGTTCGCTTCCCTCGTAAAAGTCTTTATACGTTATATAATTGGCAAACGCGTTGATGAAAACAAATTTGTCAATACCCGGCTCACTCACCAATAGGGTTGTTATCACCCTTTTTGATGACATATTCTATTAAAGTAATTATGCTAATTTTAAAAACAAAAATTTGTAAAAATGTAGGCTAGGTTAAATACCTTTTGTTAATTTTCCACACTTATGTTTTGAATTATAAGTACAGTACACTATTTATATAAATAGTATAAATATAGTAATGATATAATAATTACTTAATAATAATAAACTACTTTACTTACCTTGTATGTAGTAAGTGCTGGTTATACACTATTAAATTAATACTATTAACAATATTGCAGCAATATCACAACATTACACTGTGAAATAAATAAAATAATAAAATAGTAATAAATATCAAATTGCAAAAATAATTTACTGTTACTAACCAAAGTCAACTATAATGTTTACTCTATTAATAAAATTTTATCAATTTTATACTGCAATCAATTTATGTAACTTAAATTATTAAGTTGATGTTTTAATTTACTTTAAACTTTAATCCCTTTTGTTATATAAGATACTGTATTAATAATCTCTGATATACTATACAGTGCACTATCATATTTTAATACAGTACATGTTAGCATGATATTTCACCGGAAAATGATTCATTTAGTATAACAACATATTTTATCAAACTTACATTAGATAAACTAATTTTATAAGAATTACATGATATTTTTCAAAATTTATATTACCAAAATATATCAGTTAAAATAAATATGCAATTTTTATTAAGTAAATGTTTATATTATTAATGCTATTGAAATTTGTTTTGGCATTGATTTTTTAAACACAGACAAGTTATGTCACGTAACTTACAGTAACTGTAATTACAAACCTTTATAAAAAAAAGTTAACATATAATATTTTAATAAGTTTTGAAATATTATATTCATTTATCTACTAGATCAATTTCGTAAAATTTGCTTTTAATTTGGCATATTGGTATACTGTAATGAAAATAATATTTATTTTTCAAAAACACATTTCATTTGAATGCCATAACCAATCATACTTTAGAATCTAAAGTATTAGGGGTTTTCATAATTTTTGTCAGGTAGATTTTATTCAGCAACCTATAATGATATCAAAAAGTTTTTTAAACCTCAACTATGGATTTTTCTTAAATGTATTCCCCAGAAGACACCACTAGATTCGAGCACCGGTAGGCCGGCACAGGTAGGTTTTCTGTACAGCAATAACTACATGTCATAGAGAAACAATCAGCACGGCGTTGGAAAGAGCATAAAAAATGATC